AAAAAAAAAAAAAAAAAAAAAAAGCAGCACGGTTTCGTTAAAAAGAATAAAAATAAAACGATAAATAAACATGTCGCGTGATTCTATCTATTCGAGAATTACGGCAAGGCCCCAATTGCGTAAACCATCTTTTATCACGAACGAATAATCACTCGAATATTGATATTAATATTCGTCCACGTATCAGCTAATAATATTTGGATTTTCGTTATTTCTATTATTATATAAATCTGTGAATTTCCTCCTCGTTTTATGCTTTTCAAAATTAATTTCAACAATTGTAACGTTATATATGTATCGGTAATAAGAAATTCTTTACCGACCGTTGATCAAAGTTCGAAGTTCAAAATGTTGATAAATCGTTGAACGAGTTCCGGATTCTGAGATTAACCTCCAAATAATGTGTATCGTATTTTAATCACGAAGAAAATTCTATTCACGACTTTTCAAATCTACGATGACGCTGATTAAAAATAACACGTTATTTATTCACAAACGTGATCTTATCCACTCGTTCAAATTGAACGTAAATAAAATTGTCCAAATAAATTGTTCCAAATCTTTTTTAAAAAAAAAAGTGATGAACGGCTTTGAGCAGCATCGTCGTAGATCGCCGCACACGTTCGTCGATCATGCGTATCGCGTATAGAAGAATATCCCTGAAAAAGATAATCTTTTCGAGAATATAATAAAAATTATTAAGATGTTTAATCACGTTGTTTAATTACGTGCATATTATCATCATATTAGATGGAAATTAAAAAGTTAAATAGTTGTGAAATTACTCACGTCGGTCGTATCGAATTTTCGTCTCTTCATCATCTTACGTAAGGGAGATTATCTTTTTCAGGGATGTTTCTTTTGCACAACGAAGACAGTGCCGATGTTATCGTTTTAATCAGTAGGAAATACGTTTTTGATTTCAGGAATACTCGTCGGAAGCGGTGTCCCACGTTCATAAATACCTTATGAAAAACGAGGTTCCCGTTAATTTGTTCGAGGTTGGTCCTTTCCTAATCTTTTCTTAATCGAATCCCAACGCTTTTATTAATAAGAAATAATAACGCGAGACGCAATTTTTTTTCGTTCTGTTTTAAACCGGATGCTCACTTTACAGCCGTATATCGAGGAGATTTTTAATCACTTGAGAGCGGAACCGTTCAAAAAGTTTCTCGAGAGGTATGTTGTGGACGAAATGAAAGAGAACCCAATGTCCAGGTGCCTCCTCCCAGCCTCTTACTCAGGTTTTCTTTTTTTTGAAATATTGCTAAGAAATGCCGTTTTATATTTTTTTCAGCGAGAAGTACACGCGATTTTGCCAATGGAAAAACTTAGAATTGAACATGCAGGTACGATTAAAAATTGTTTTTGTAACGCAAATTATTCAAAGATTACGTACAAATATTTTCTGATTATATCGATCGCGGCATTTATCTTTACCGTACAAATTTACATGAAAATAAACACGTTTTTATAATATTAATTTCGATCGCAGAAAATATTTCGATTTCGAAAAAAATTTTGAAAAAAAAATATATATATATATATTCATTATAGAATTTTTATATAGAATTTTCGAAAAAAAAAATTACATGATGTAACGATGTTAAAATGCGTGGAAATATTCGTTGAACGAAGCCCTGTTTCAGCTGACAATGAACGACTTCAGTGTACATCGAATAATAGGAAGAGGCGGGTTTGGAGAAGTTTACGGGTGTCGAAAAGCAGACACGGGAAAAATGTACGCGATGAAATGCCTTGACAAGAAACGAATAAAAATGAAGCAAGGCGAAACTTTAGCGCTCAACGAAAGGATAATGCTTTCGGCAGTCAGTACCGGAGTAAGCTTTAACACGACGATGTTAATAACGTCTTAAAAATACGATTTTAATATTTAAAAAAAAAATCTGGTATATAACTAGCGTATAATATAACTTTTCACTTTATATTTCCATTATTTCTTGATTAAAAGAAAAGAAAGGAATATAATTGAACGTTTATTGCAGGTCGATTGTCCATTTATAGTATGCATGACGTACGCCTTCCAAACGCCGGACAAATTGTGTTTCATTCTGGATCTGATGAACGGTGGCGATCTTCATTACCATCTAAGCCAGCACGGAGTGTTCAACGAACGAGAGATGAAGTTTTACGCGGCAGAAGTGATATTGGGATTGGAACACATGCACCGCAGATACATCGTTTACAGAGACTTGAAACCGGCCAATATCCTTCTGGACGAGCATGGCCACGTAAGAATATCGGATTTGGGGTTAGCTTGCGATTTCTCCAAAAAGAAACCGCATGCAAGCGTGTAAGTAATTAGGATTAATGGTAAAAATTAT